AGGAATGCAGTTATTGCACCGACGCTGCCTGTGCCTCACCTTCTCACTACACGCAGTACACGTTAACGGTCATTGACATCTACTGTAGGGCTGAAATGAGTAATGAAGAATGCAATGCCCTAACTGTCGATGTGGAAGTTCTCCTCGTTTGCGATGACTCAAACTGGGACAATGTTAAGGTGGCTCAACGGCAAAATGCAGTCCTACTTCCTCACGGATGCGGTATTGTAGAACTCGCAGTAGGTAACGTCGCCAACGATGAGACGCTTGTCGAGATTGTGTTGAGTCAGGTTGCAAAAGTTTTGCTTAAGTAGCGCTGAAATGCGACTCACTGACCTCATTCTTCACGCATCCGCGTACCGCGTGTGGTGTGGACTAAGGAGTGCTTGGCCTCAACACATTCGCAGTCGACATGGCTTTAGCGCCCTCCTTAGTTGTCATCACACCCGCCCAAGGGCTAATAATTCCACATCTCGCACGATTGCGCTGCTTGCTGATCTAACTTTGGGCATCCGTCCACTTAAATGGCATGATCCAAGGAAGCGGCATCGGCGCACTGCTTCGGAGGGTCCAATCGTCGCTTCCCATCCAAATGGTTTTGGCCGCTAATTCCACCTTCCGCATAGGCAGTCGATGCAATGCTATGCATTACGCAAAGCAAAAAAAAATGAATGTTCACTCAGAGTAGTGTGCACTTACAAGTGCAAAGTGTAAGGCTGATCCAATGTCGGTGATGCGATTGGTGGTACTTTGCTGGTTTGGAGAAGAGGAAGGAGGGGATTAGGAAACCGTTGTGCGTAGCTACCGCTACGTCACTACGGAGGGGCTGTTAGTATGCGAATTGGATGCTTTAGTTCACAAGCAAGGCTTCCCGAAAGGAGACACTGGTCCTATTTCGCGTGCACAAGTCGTCTCATCTGGTTGTGGTGCTTTGAGTATGGTGGAGTGCATAAAGTCAGGTAGCTTAGCCCATAATTGGTCCTCTAGATGCGCAACGTTTTTGAGCCTTGTTCGTCTTTCGCCTTGTGGTGCACGCAAAATGTAGAGCGTGGTTGCAGAGCCGAAATGGAGGGGAAGGAGGGCAACTGTTTCACATTACTTTCCGACAAACTAGAAGGAAGGGGAGGAGAGGCACTTGGTATGTTGGGAGGAGGAGGACGAGGAGGAGGAGAGAGGGCAAAGAGTGGTTGACACCTCAAGAAGCAGCCCACATGTTTGCTAGCATGTCTGTCTGTCTACTTCTCGCCTTGCCTACTTCTCCACTTTGCAGCGTCCGACTAGCACGACAGGCATCATCTACGTCCACCACGCTCACCATTGTGAGGCGTTGGATGGAACAGAGCATGCACCGGATATCTTCGATGATGGCGAACGGAATTAGATGCTGTAAAGGAGGAAGTGGGTGTAGACGCGTGTGCTGCTGTGGTGAAATCGAGGTGGGGTGAAATGGTGGATGGAATGGCATTGTAGTGAAGACCATCTTCAGTCCTCGAGCACATATGCCTATCTGCATCTGTTGAGCTGCGCACAATTGCACTGCCAATCTGCAAATGCATGCGGTGCCAACATATGGCATGACAGTAAGAGGGGAAAGTTGTGGCCCCAAATTGCGCAAAATTAAATTGTGTGAGCGTTTTTGCCGGCATTAAGCCCACTGGTTGTGAACATTCATGGCAAACGAGTTGTGGTTGA